AAGGTTGGGAGCTGGATTCATACAAGCAAAGAACACATCCATGTGGAATCACACAAGAGGATACTATGTACCAAAATACACTCTTTACTACTCTTTACCATCTTCACAAGACAAATGGAAAATTCTGTTTCTCCTTTTCTATGCAAGACTTCTAATTGTTCTAAAGTGAAAGAAATTATCATAGGTTTAATAATTAGGATAAGCACATTCAGATTTAAAAGGGCCAAAGACACATCATAATAAAAATCTGTTTGAAAAATACTTATCTACTGTTTGCTTAAGAATAAAACTAATTGAACTCAATAATACATACTCCCTTGTAAGTGTACTTAAAATTGCCATGATAATTATATAAATAAAAACAATAAAGGTATTATCATATGAAATAAAACCACACACTTCTACTTTCTACAGTATATGTTCAAAATGAGGAAAGCAAAGATTATAATATTATTACAGTTCCTAGTAAAGGAGACTATGATATTTTAGATATTTTATAACAATTTGTGTCTACTAGTATAGTGCAGGATCTCCATTGGGTTGGATGAGTCACATTTTTTAAAAAGGAAGTTGTTAAATACATTGAGGAAATACTGTGGTTAACTCTCAAAATCCCAATATTTTGGATTTAAATTGTTGGTGGTTACTCCTGCTACAGGATGCCATGATGTGGCTATTAGATTTGTCTTCTGTCCTCCTTCCCTCTTTCTTCCCTTTCTTTAATTATACATGTTTTAAATGACATGTCATTTACTTGGTTTTGAGTTTTTTCTGACTAAAACATTCCACTACCTACAACAAATTACATATCACAAGAAGATATTCTGAACACTTCTTAAATAGCTGAATGTCAAAATTGAATTGTACATATAACAAAACAGAAACATAGATTATCTAACACTGTGTGTGGGATACAGCTCTAATTCATACAGTGCACAGAAAAGAAACTGGCAGTCATGATCATACTACACACATCTCCATAATAACAGGGTATAAAGCATACAATTTCAAGAACACCCACAATGAAAACTACACTTTCCAAACAGAGACTTGTTTTGGACTAAACTCAGTTCATTGGCACCAGGGGATTCTTCTTGAGGAAACACAGGACATTAAACCTACACATGTGCATGTAAAATGATAAAGAATTATCATAAGTCTTCCCGGACATTCTTCCAGTATAAGGCACTGGGCCCAAAATCAACATTATATAATCTTTAGCATAAACATACTGCCCACATGTCATCAAAACATTCTACATACAGTAGCTTTCATTAGAGTGATCTTGTTCAGATTTATAGATTTCTATAAAGCTCGAGATATATTATTGACAGCTAAAAGTATTATATCTTTAGCTTATTCAAACCTAGTTTATGAACTTTATGACATGTACTAATATGTATTTTTATAGTTTATATCTGTTTTTACATTTGCTGCTTTTACCTGATTGTTGTGTACTGCTCATAGTAGCTGTTGGTACAATACGGTAGGTGGATATATAAATTTATTAGATAAATTTAATAAATAAAAACCTATTTCTGATCTTTAAGAAAATAAGGTAATTAAAATATTCAGTCATTTTCTCAAAGTCAGTAAGAAAGAAACAATGCAGTACTATATATTGTCATACTGATTAACTGAACTCAGAGAATAGACATAACTTGATAGATGTTACATCTTATTTTGTACATGTACATTCTTTAAGCAATCATAGTATTTGTGAACAGAATATGAATTTTATCAAATTCAAGGGATGAAATGCTCTCAACAAGTAGCTTAAAGTATAGCTGTAATTCTATTTTTTTGTAATTGCTATTTGAATTTTAGATGAGACTATAAATCTTAAAAACACTTAATATGTATGCCATATTTTACATTTTTCTCTGAACAGATCAGCTTTGAATCATGTGTATTATATGCAAATGCAGTAAACTCTGTCTTGGTGAAAAGAACACTACTGAAACAACAGTTTGTCCTGTCTGGGGTCCTATTTTTCCTTTTTTTTAAAAAAACAAAACAATGCATACTATGTAAGTTATAAATATTCACTAGTGCTTAAGCCTATTGTTTCAAGATCTTAGACAATTTATTAAAGAAGATGCCAAGGCATCCCTTTATTTTAAAATATAAAAGAGCCACAAATTCCTACATCATTAAAAATGAATAATTCAAGCATTTAAAAGGGAGCCTTTAAAAATAATAAAGAAGCTAAAATACTTATAACACTGTGATGTTTCATGTTTTAACTGCTGTTAATTTCCTAAACAATTCTAATTACTTCCAGAATTTATAGGAAATATGACTTTAGACTAGAAAGTCACTTATGTATTCAATGTCTTCTGTTTCAGTAAGGCTAATCACACTCAGCATTGTGTTAAATGATAGCTATGGAGTTGTTCTTAGGAAGTTTTGATCATCTTGGAATGATCTGATACCAAAATCTTAAGAGCAGAGATATGAAACAAATTAACCATGGTCTCTGCATACATAATCTTCCATTCAAGAAGCATGTGTGAAGTTTATATTGGAGATAATAAGTAGCTATGTTATTACATTATTGAAAGCCAACACTGGAAAGGAGAAAGGGCTTTTATTTTGATCTAGTAGGGAAGAAAGAATAGACTTTCTATTCATTTTCTACTGCATATTTCCATTTCAGGCATGATAATCAGTTCTTCTGGGATCCATTCATAAAAACAGTGCATGCCTATGTGACAAATGCATAGATAGTTGAAGGGCAGATGCACATTTTTAATATGTAATAGAATCTGCAGACATGATAGGATCTATCATTGATACCTGAGAGAAGCCCATCATATGGGATGTTTGCAGATACACAGTTAGTATCTTGTCTAATTATTACTATATTCATTCAATCAGCAATAACAATGAGATAGAGCTGTATATATGAAATGTGAATAAATGAAAATAAAAATATTTACATTTTCTTTATGAAATATATTTATTAAAGTCCAGTATTGGCACTTTAATAAACATATTTTATTGACATGAATTGGAAAAGTAGATATATCCAATGTATCAATAGATGTAATTTACAGGGACAAAGAGAAAAAAATGTCTCTAATATATATATATATATATTGGTGATATATCTTTGCTCTTATCAATAAATTACAATAAATAATTTGTGGCAAACTATTCAGAAGATTATACAAGGAATTATATAGAAATATTGTATTGGCTTGTTAAAAAGCTAGAAGTCACTTTGTTTAACTGACTTCACTGTGGTATTCAGCTGTAGAAAGAAACAAAGAAGCTGATGTAGTTCAAGATTTAGGGAAACTTTCTATTAAAATTTAAGCCATTGTGACATGTAAAAACAATTCATAGCTTGGAGGGGTGCATAAGGTGGCTGAGGTCAAGGAGTCTAGCCCATATATTCTTAATAGTCTCTCTCCAGTATCACTCATTTCCCTGACATATGTTTTCTCTTTCATGGAGGTTCTCTCATTCTCCTTGGATGATTTATGTTTTCATTATGTTTCTATATGATATATGATTGAAATACTATTATCAGTTTTAAATGGTTGATTTCAATACAATATCTTAGCTTCCTCCCACCAAGTAGGAGAAAGCTATGATTATTTCCCCATAATTTCAAGTAGCGTGGCTTGTCACTAGCAATGCTACCTGGAAATTAGGAGAGTTCAATGCATCTGGAAGATATTTTATTGGGTCATGTGACAATATGATTTTGATACAATTACTTTGTCAGTTTCCATGGCACGTGTTTTCTTCAGTATTTGACTACTCAAACTGCCTAAAGAGGGAAGATTAACTAGTCTTACAGCAAATTGTTTTCATAGATCTTATCAACTTCTACTCTTTCATAATTACTTTTAACAAAGCAGCCTACAATGAACTGACATATCAAGTTTAACCACAAAAACGTAATGATGATAATTCAAAACAATCATACCCATAAAACTTTTATAAAAAAAAGTCTGGGAATCAAGCTTAAGGAATATACAGTTTATAATATACTAAAATGCCAGCTCTTGACTCAGATTAATGAAGAGGTATATAAATAAGACCAGATTGCAGTTATTAATCTGAATATAGATTTTTATCTCAATTTTAACATTTAAATGTCATGCTGTTTTTAAACAGATCTAGACTTTAAATAACTAATATATGTGATGGTACTTTCAGGTAATACATTTTTGATGTGATCATATAAAATTATTCCTAGAATTAGAAAATATACCATTGCTTTATAATAATCCTAACATATCTTTTCATGAATTTTCTTTAGTCACTAAACCATTCAGTTGTTAATACATATACTGAAGTATAACAGGGTCACTTAGCTATTCTGTTTTCAGTTAACATCATTCTATTTATTTTAATGAAAGTTTCCAATTTCATAGGTTAATGGCTTAATTTTGCAAACAAAACTGGTTTTTCTAAAGGAATATGTTCTGACACATATAATCAAGATTAAGGGGGAAAGGACTTTTTCAATATCTAATTTATAGTGGAGAATTTGATTTTAATATAAGCAAAGACTTATCATTTTAAATAGTTGATGCAGTGAGAGCTCCCCCTTCTGTATATAACAGCATTTGATTACCAATGGGGTGAATCTATTTCAGAAAAATAATTTATAAAGAGCTACCATTTTAACTGAGATGGAAAATGATCTGGTTCTAAACTGCATAACTACATCACATTTATAGCTGTGCGCTCAAAGAAAATTGAATACTTTACTTGAAAAGTCTGCACAGTAACTGTGGACTGATTGAGTAACTGAGTTCAAATCATGGTTGGATTTTAATCATGATTAATGCACATTAGGCTGAAGCCATTTATTTTTCCAATAACTTAAATGAAAACCTCATTTTAAAAGACTTATGTTCTATTTTATTATTTACTTTCTAGAGTTAAAATTAAGCAAAATTGGAAATAATACAAAATGTAACACAAAATTAGACTTAAAAGAAAGAAAGTCCCCAACGGTAAATAAAAGGAATTCAAACCTTTATTCCACTTTGAACAACTTTGTGTATGTCCAGAAATGGTTCTTTGACTATATCTCCTTCGGGTGTTAATATTTTCACATATCCTTCTTTCTCAAGGATGAAAAGACGGTGTGATCCATCTCCAGAATGTATTGCTCCAACAGGTTGCCTGAAACCACTTACAACTTCATGGAGGCAAAAGCAGTTGTGTTTATGTTTCCTAAAACAAAGAAATAAGAAAATTATTTTAATTTTAATTTTTAATAGCAAAAAATACAAAATGTGATATACTGGTGGCATTTATTTAGCATGATATATTTCAATTTGACGATAAAGTAACTTTCACTTTAAAAACTGATGATTGACCATTCTTTTATAAGCTAACTTTTTAGTTAACTGTCTACAACTGTCCCCAGTTGTAGTGGGATGTGGCCCATTACTGGGCCTTGGCCTGTTCGGAACCGGGCTGCATGCGTGGTGGGTGCTTTGTGCATGAAGCTCCATTTGCCTGCCACTCACACAGAACTATCCCCTCTCCCCATTCCCCTGGTTGGCCACCAAGCTGGAAATGTTGGGGACCACTGGTCTACAGTATTAGTTGATGTTTGATCCATGGGAATTTACACTGAGAAATGGAAATAACATCATTTGATGGGACCCAGGAAATAGGCCTTCTCTGTCATGGTGCGTATCCCTGGAACAGCATCACCCGGAGAATGGTACAGCCCGTACTGTGACTGTATTGAAAAGGTCTTTAAAACTTGGGTTTTCCCCAACAATTGAGTTGGAGTGAGATGCAAGCCTTTTACATGCTTGGACATATTCATCTGAATATTTTTTGTTTTCTAGACGTGCATTGTTCTTTTCTTTGTTATATTGTTTCTTGCTCTGTCATATGCTGCCCAGAATCTTGATGATGGGTGGCCTTAAAAATTTGACAAATTAATAATACATATTTATTAATTGTTTGGAGATTAACTAGTTACTTTCAGAGCCTAGTACGGAAGTGCGAAAAACATTACTATAAATTAGGGGGAAAATGAACATATTTATTCTGCATAAAAAGAAATTGTTCCTAAGGTAATTTAACTTAAAGAAGAAATAAGGTTTCCTGTCTGCTCTTCTGTTCTGGAGTTAGATGCATTCCAGCAAAAGTCACTCAGAGAGGTTGGGATGATCTCCTGAATAGTGTGGAATGTTAATTCTCTATTCCCCCATATGTCTCATCCCATATTGTTCAGGAATGTTTGCTATCTCTCCAAAATGAAATAAGCAATACTTTGCATAAATAATGTAACAAATTTTAGCATCCAAATTAATTATTTTAAAGCTCGATATCACGTAGTTCATTTCAAAATCCATGTTAAGGTAACACAAAAAGATCTGCAATGATTAGAAAAATATTACAAAATATAAAAAACTTTACATTCATATATTTAAAAAACAGATT